CTTTCTGTGCACACCAGCAGTTTCTTTGATAGAGACTTTAAAGCTTGCATGCTAAATAAAACTAAAACTGTGTAATCTGTGACAAATAAATACTCTAAAAAAAGTAAGCTGGGAAGGACTGGCCACCAGGACTCATAACTGAAAAGGTGAGAGCAGGTCAGCAGGTCATGTTACGCCCACTGAAAACGGTCTTTGTATTGATAAGAGCTGAAGTTTCATTAGGACTGAGTGGCACTTATGTGTATTTTTTCTTTTCTCTTTGAGTTCATTTTGTTTCTCTTTGAGTGCAAAGAAGAACTCAAGACAACAGTAAAAAGCAGAGAATAAAAGTTGGATATAAGTATGAAAGGAAGAGTGTAAGACAGGAGGGGGAGCTCAAAGGGACTCCTCAGAGACAGAGAAAAAAAAACGACGAACCCCTCCAGAGGAAAGAGGAGAGTCGCGTTCAGCTGAATCAGCGCGGCTCTCTCTGTGTCAGCAGCTTAAGTCGCTTTGTAAAGACGTCACACACTCAGAGCCCGAGGACATTTCTTTGGCCGTCTCATGGTAATGCCAAATAAAAAAAAGAAGCACACACAGCCTGAGGCTTCACACACACAGTTATTGTGCTGATGCAGTAGTTATGAAATGTTTGTCTTGATTGCTTTTCCTGCTGGAAAACTTTTGTTTTTTTGATCTTTAATGTTTTTTATTTCTGCAATATTTTGTTTGGAGGAATTTGTTTCTCTCTGAGGTCATGTATGTTTAAACTTAGTGGTCATTCAGTGTTCCTGAGATTATTATTTTTTGCTTAGTTTATTTATTTAATTGGATAATTTTAATTTTCCTTTAAGTCATTTGTTTTCTACTTTTTCCTCTTAAGGACTCATTTTGTGTCTGTGATGATGTCCTGTGTCCTTAGAGATTATTTGGGGTTATTTTTTTGTTTGTGATCATTTTGCTCCTTTAAAAATTATTTGCTGTGTTCAGTTACTTACAGATTAGTAAAATCACTCCTTAGTGTTGTCTTTTTTTCATTTTTAATTCCTAACAGTGAAAATTTGACAATAAATAAGTAAAAACAAATACAATAAACAAAAAACATACATTTATATTTCTTTAGCTTTTCTGCTTTAGCTGGACATGTATCTGCTCGTGAGTTCTGTGTGCAAACAAACAAAATTTCAGCTCACACGAGAGCGAAAAAGTAACACGAACAGAAAATCTGCAGTGAGGTAACTGAGTAAAACCGACTGAACACACTAAAGAAGAATTTTCACTCTTTCTCTGTGATGTTTTCTTTCACATGAATCGTTTGAGAACGCACTCGGCCACAGCACACGAGCAGTAGCGTCTGAGTGACAGCAGCTCTGGTGGCAGCTGCTGATCCGTCACCGAGTCGCTGTCGTAACGCTCGACCATCTGGCCTTCAGGCGTCTGTCACCAGACAGCTGTGGAGAGAGCATGTTTGCCCGCTACTGCAGATGAATAAAGTTTTGGTTATTTGAAGGAGAAGTTTCTAAAATCAGAATGCCTCCACAACTTCAAAAAAGTGTTTCTTCTTCTGTGGTTTGTATCATTATATATGTGATCATTTCCGCCCTCCGCTCTTCACGTGGCCTCTGGTTTTTTTTGTGGCTTTCTTCAACTTCGTTTGACCCACGGTGACTTTGCAAGAAGTAGGGGAGGAACTTGCTTTTGATGGAGGGGTGGGGTTTACCTTAGAGGGGGAGTGGTTTACAGTGATCATTGGGTTCTTTGACAAATCACAGAGGGGAACAGCTTGAGGTATTTCCAAGTCAGCGACAGGAAAGGTTTCTGTGAAATCAGACACCTGAAGAGAAACAAAGGTAATATTTATTGTAAACAGGAATTGTTGCATGCATAAAAATAATTCATTACACTAAAGATAGAGGCTTATAGAGACCAGTATTTAAAGGAGAGGGAGTCTTACAGGAACAAAGGCCAAGTTGTCACGGAGACAGGCATCCTGCAGCTCGCTACGCAGTGCTGTCACATGACTGCGGTGGGCAGAGACTTCCTGCTCAAGCCAATCAATCCTGGAGCTGCAGGTGTGGCAGAGCTGAGAGACGGCAGAGAGAAAACTCTGCACAGGAAGAGAAACATGAAGGGATGAACTGAGAGCGGCGAGGGGTGGAGGCTAAAGAGGAGAGAAAGGTGTAGAAGGAAGGAAGGAAGGAAAGAAGGAAGGAAGAAGAAAGGAGGGAAAACATAAGAAAAGAAAGACACTTCCTTCCTCGCTCTGCTACCTGGCACGCTGTCGCCTCAGGAGCTCCCATGATGCTCTCTGCTCCACTCAACTCTAGGTTCTCGTGAGGTAACAGCAAGGGGCGGGGCTTGGCCTTCAGAGAGTGTTGCGATTGGACGAGACTGTCCCTGAACTGAAGAGCACACTGCATTGTTTCAACAACTGTGAGGCCCAGAGTGAGTTTTCAGCAGTCAAAGTGAGGTCACCTCACTGTGTGTGTGTGTTTGTGCGCATGTGTTCACCTGCTTGCAACTCGCCTCTGCAGCCTTCATGCAGCTGACCACACGGTCCCGACGTCTGAGAAACAACAACGTCAACAACCAACAATCTCACAGTAAACAAACTTCTGGGCGGAGGGAAAGAAGGCCCGCTACCTGCTGGCATCGCTCAGCTCTTCCTCAGCTCGCTGCAGCCTCTCCTCCACCTGCTTCTTCCCCTTCTGAATCCCTGATAGGTGCTTACCTAGAATCCTCAGTGAGCGCTCTTTCCGATTCACCTCCTGCCGAGCCTCTGACAGCACCTGGTGAGAGAGAGAGAGACCTAGAGTTACCTGAAAGTAACCATCACTGCACCAGGGCTAAGGTGTCCACCGTGCAGGCTTGCAGGCATCTTTTCCACATTAACTGTGAAGGTAAATTATTGACAACATCACCATTAAACAGCTCACAGTAAACAACTCTAGGTTCTCGTAAGGTAACAGCAAGGAGCGGGGCTTGCTCCTCCTGTTGGATATTAATGTAGAATATTAATGCTAGATCTTTGATTTGTACCTTTATGTATATTTAAAATCCGTGCAGTTTGACATTAAACATGATAGCATCAGAGAGAGCGTCTCACTTTCTAAGTTCCAGTTCACCCAGTTCTTACATTGGTTTTGAAATGTGTTTAAAGCTTTATCTGCCCACCTATTTGTGGAAACAGATGATAAATTGTTTTCCACCAAACTCCACTAACTAAACTTTAACTTTTCTCTGACAGGATGACGGGGCTGCGGTTAGACTTTTCTAGTTTGTGTCTGAACCAAAGGATCAAAACACCAAAGTCACGTAACAGGGCAAACTTGCCTGATCAATCGAGGCAGCAGGAGGCAGTTCTGTGTTCTGTGAGGTAAAATTACTGTTTTTATGAATGGAGTCTGGTGGACAGCAATTTGGGTGACTTCCTGCTTACTGTAGAAAGGGCTGTTTGACAGAAGGCAAAGTGGTGAACATGTTCTCAATAGAGCGTCCATCAAACCCAGGTCGAGTCAGATTCTGTGTGGGCGTGGCCTAATCCCACCTGCTGCAGGTAACACACTTGTTGTTGATGTTCAAAAAGAGCAGAGTGAATATTTGTGTGTGGCGTACCTGTGTGGTCTGTCTCAGTGTGCGCTGTGTTTCAGCTTGCTCGGCAGCATTTTCGTCGACTCGCTGCTGCAGCGTGTGCAGCTGGTTGGACTGCTCCTGGATCAGCATCTGAGCCTCCTGCTCTCTGCTCAGAGCCTGACGGAGCTCCACGCACACACTCTGGAAACGCTCGTCTGGCACCTGAACACACACACACGTACGTCATGAAGGTGTTTAGCATGCAGGTGTGTGTGTGCGTGTTTTGCCTCACCATTCTGCTCGTCTCCTTCCGGAGTCCTTTCCTCAGATTGGCCACCTCCAGCCGCAGGCTCCGCCTCTCCACCTCTGCCGAATGCAGCCGCTGGCTGAAGACCAGGAAATGCTGCTGGAGGACCGACACCAAACTCTGCTGGCGCACAGAGGTCAAAGGTCAGCAGAGGGAGACAGTTTCTCAGATAAAATTGAGTTTCTTTTGTGTTTAGCGACCTTTGTGTCAGACTGCAAAGACGTCAGGCTACTCACACCGAGCCTCATTCGGCTGCTCAGTGTCTCCTTCTTCACGCCACAGGATGATAGGCTGGACTCTGATTGGTCGAGGAGGAGATCAAGGAGGCGGGACAAGCCTGCGCAAGCCACTGAGAGCAAGAGTGGAGGGGACGAATCTCGAGAAACAAAAGAAACAAGATGTTTTTGAGGAGGTCTGTGCGTGTGTGTGTTTGTTTGTTGTGTGTGTGTTTGTTTGTGTGTGTGCATGCGTGTGTGTTTGTGGTTACCAGAGTCTCCCAGAGCCTCCTGCAGGTCAGACATGGAGGTCAGGATGGTGGATGAGAGACGTTTAGATCCAAACAAACGAGCACAAAGACCTTCACGTCCGTCAGTCAGCTTTTTGTCTAAATAAAAAAAAAAAAGAAAAGTTTCTCAGTTTCCTTTTGTTTTTTTAAACACACTCCATCAAACATTTATCATGAATGAAACACTTATTAATGTCTGCCAACGAACTAACTGTGCCAAAACTCTAAGGTTTTATAAATCAGGACATGAAAATCCTTCAATCTTAAAATTTGGGAAATCCCAAACCAACTACAAAACACAACATATCACACTGTGTCATTATTTACTTTTTTAAAAATGGCGTCTAAATCCAGGAGTGACCCGTGAAAAACTAAGTCCACCCTTACTGCTCCCACAGGAATTCAGAGGCTAAGCAGCAGCCACGTGCTGATAATCAAAAGCACTCAATTAAACTCACGATCATGTGTGAGCGCCTCTATGACAGCAGGAGAAAGCCATTGTTAAACAATCTGAACTCCATCTCTACAGTCAGAACAGATTAATCCCACATGGAAAACATTGGAGGCTGCTGCCAAACTTCCTGCTGCTGCTGCAGTGGACCTCCCCGCAAATTCACTTGAAGTTCGGAGTGTAATTTGAGGCTCTACGGTCCTCAGTTAGCACGCTAAATGCTCGAGTTCTTGACGGTACAATTAGAAAACAACAGAACAAGTGTGGCTTGATGGGTATGTCAAGACCCTGCCTCTTCTCTCTTAAATAAGGTAGCATGGTTTAATTGCATCTGAAGAAACCGTAAGACTTCTGGAACGATGTGACCGATGGGCACATGAGAGCAAAGTAGAGATGTTTGTCCATAATGCGCAACACCATGTTTGGAGAAAACTAAACACCTCATACCAACTGTCTGTTTGTTATTTAAGATTCAAATGTGAGGAGATGCATCCGACAGCTAAAGCTTGGCTGAAACCAGGTCATACGACAGGACAACGATCCCACCAAATTAACCAAGTCCAGACTTCAACTTGATTGAAATGCTGTGGAAGGACTTTAAGAGATCTGTGCACAAACCTCAATCATCTGAAGCAATGCTGTGAAGCAGAGTGGAACAAATTTCCTCCACAGAGATGTGAGAGATCGACAGTCATACAGGAAGTGATGACTTCAACTTCTTGCTGCTAAAGATCGTTCCACAAGCGACTGAATCGTGGGCTGAACTGTTTTTCACAGGACCGCAGCTCCACAGCATGTATGTGAGTCTGGTAGCTTGTCATCACACTGACACTCAGATACACAGTATTTACGCTGCTCTCTCAGCTGCTGTAAAACATCAGTGACACACAGCAGTGCAGCACAGTCTGTGTCTGCCTCAGCACCATCTCTAACATCAGTGTGTTACCTTCTGAAGACGGTGTTTCCTTGAGCTGCTACAAACACACTGAAAGTGTTTCCTTTCTTGTTTGTGGAGGTGTGTGTACCTGGTGTGTCTCGAGCCTTCTGTGTCGCCGTATCCGCCCCTCCACAGACGCAGACAGCTGGAGCTCCGCCTCCTCTCTCCAGACGAAGCAACACTGTCGTGTTCCTGGCCAGCGAACACCACCTCCTCACTGCCAGCACAGCGCACACAGTCCTCCTCCACCTCTTCGTTGCCCTCCTCGTCCTCTCTCTCTTCTTCTCTTCCTCCTTCTCTTGGTCTTTCTCTCCTTCCAGAGCATCAACCAGCCTCCTCACCTCCACCTCCAGCTGCTTCCGCTCTGCCAGCTGCCGGCACAGGAATTTCTTCTGCTCAGAAAGCCCACACAGACGGTGGTGAGCGTGCCTCAGCGCTCCACCCAGCAGGGCGCAGGCTAAGAAGAAGGACGAGGACTCCTTGCGGCTTCGAGAGAGGAGGCCTCTGAGCTGGGAGAGGTCAGAGGTCAGCGAGGAACAGCGTTGCTCCAGAGAGGAGGTGCGATCACGGAGAGCGTCGCACTGAGAGCGGCAGAGCTGGAACAAAACGTGGAGGCGTTAGCATCCAACATCAGAAACACGCTGGTTCAGCAAAGAGATGGAAGTGGGCGGAGCTGATGTGTATGCCGCCTCCAACGTAAAAACACACAAACAAACAAAATCTGCCATTTTCAGATCTTAGGTAACTGTGCACGTCTGGTATTAACACGGAGTATTTATTACACGGCGTGCTGCGGGGAAAAGCCTGTTTGAGTCTAAGGTTTATTTTTTTAGCACCTTTTTTGCTTCTCATCCGTAAACTCTCTGCATTCTCTTTTACGTGATTCGGTTTATTTTGAAGCAGACGACGGAGCCACACAATGGTTTTACCGTCGTTGTTGCTAACGACAACGCATAAAAACAGGCGCTTGTCCGTCTGTAGTGTGGTTATATTAAATATAAGAGAAAGAGAGAACTTTAAGAAATTAATATAGCCACTACAGTGACCATCAAAACGATGAAAAAATATTGCCGTAAACAGTTTATTTTGCGACACCACGAAACAAACGATAGCGTAAAATGAAACGATAGACGTTTTTATATCGTCATCCGATATATATCGTTATATCGAACAGCCCTAATGCTGGGTGTCACGGTATTTTTAATGGTGACAGTTGTTTACACGGTTAAACAAAGCTATTTATTTTCTTTTACGTTAAACATGAAATGTGTCAACATGTCTTTCCTTCTCTGCTTTCGCATTTACTGCGTTTTCATGAGAAAAAACGTTTAAAGTGCGACGCTGCTCAGTGACACAAAGGTTGTAATAACTTCGTAACAAATCCCTATTAAGCTTTGCCTTTTTCTGCTCTTCACTCTTTGGTGAACTTTTTCTGCTGTTGTAAATGTTGCTGCAGAGAATTTTATGCTTTCGGAGACAACAAAGTTGGAAGTGAACAGATGATTTTTGTATCTGTCGTCTCGTCTCTTCGGAGAATCTGACCAAAGGGACTGATAACTGAAATCTTTCTGCTTCCATCCTGCTGATTCAGCTCACAGTGCCTCTGTCGCTGCAGGGCGACGTGACTGACGTACACGAGGCGCTGAAACACCCCAGGGATGTATGTGAGTGTTACCTGCAGCTCGCTCTGCAGCCCCCTCACAGTGTGCGTGTGCTGTCTGCTCCACTCCTCCTCCCTCCTCCTCACGCTCTCCTCCAGACGGGACAACACACACTCCTGATTCCGCTGCAGCTCGCGCACACACACACTCTTCTTGTCGCACACGCTCTGCAAGTGGGCGATCTGCAGCGAGAGAGCAAAGAAAAACAGGGTGGGGGAGGGGCAGAAGAGCACTTCAACATTTTAGCCACATGGGAAATATAATGTTCACAGTCTGTCAGCAAACTGTTGCAGATGTGTCACAGCTGGCAGGTACAGGAAGTGAAACCTTGTAGCTCAGTGTCACCTCACCGGTTTGTGAAAATACTCTGAGGGTCTCAGGCCTCTGAATGACGCCACAGTCCTGGACAAGACCCCAATTTATTCATATAGTCAGGAAGCTAATGTTCGGCTCGCTCCTATATTGCTTATCAACATGTTTGCTAGCATTAAACAAGATAAAGCCACTTTTATCAGATGAAGCCCATTTAAACAAACAGAAATTTGACTGGCATTCGAGTAAAGTTCCTTCACCATCAAAATATCAATTGATTCAAATTCAACACTCAGACTGTCTATATTTTGACTAACATGTTATCAAGTAGGGCAAACACATCTAAATGCAAGTTATCTACAGCTGTGACCACACAGGAACTGATTCCCTCTGACATGATAGCCAGAAACCATACACACTACGTCACTACTAGGCAGACCCTGGTCTATTACTAGATTTTAGATTGATTAATCTGGCGCAACTTTTCTTGTATTTACAGCACAGTAATTTTAATCTGTAAATCTGTAAAATGTAAATAAGGACAAAGAAAAAGGACGAACCTTAAACTACATCTTTGTGAAAAATAATTAAAACGTAATAATAAATAATTAAACATTGTTGAAATGTTGTAGAATTGTACTTTCTTTGTTTCATTTGACAGCCAGTTGCTGATTGTATACAGTCACTGATGCAACTGTTAGGCTACTTCAAATTATAACTTGTCATCCTGCCATAGAAGGACAATGACATTCAGCATCTACAGGTGACTCTTGGTGACACAAAGTGGCCCTGAGATGTATTTTCTCAACATCAAGGCAAACCAGTGAAGCAATGGGATTGACAGATACTGGTGATTAACTCATGAAAGCAGAGTGAACACCTTTTAAGGGCAACTAGAGTTTAAATAACCCTGTGGTGACCAGGTTTGGCACTTGCACCTAAACAATTTACCATTTTTCTTAAGATCTGGCTGTGAAAGAAGTTAGTCAAGGCAAACAAAGTTCTCACTAACAACAAATTTTATTGGCTCTGTACCAAAGGAACAATCATCAGAGCTGCAGTGATTAGTCAATCATACTTTTATTCTTGGGGTCTGAAGAGTAGAGCTGAACAGAAAACACCTGAAACGAAACCTGGATTGTTTCTAATGACAAGCAGGGGGCGACTCATCTGGACTTCACTTAATCCTGGTTTCAGATTCTAGTTTCAAGTGTTATTAAATAAAACACATTTATTTTATAAATTGTGTTCATATGAAAGTAAAAAAGGACAATAAAGCAGGGAAATGTTTTTGAGGTGAAGACAGGATGGGTATCAGTGGGTGAATTCAGCTTGGTTTACCTTGTTGTTGGCTTTCTTGAGGTCAGAGGTCAGCTGGTCCACCTGCTCGCTGATGACATCACACAGCTCCTTCCAGGTGAAGTTACCCAGAATGCTCTGAGATTGATGGAGGAGGACACAGCCAGCCAGCAGGCGCTGGTAGAGGCAGTAGAGGAAGGACAGATGGGCCTGACACACAGACAGAGGCTCAGTATGAGGAGGCTGTAATGCATTTAAGCCTCAGCTGTAATGATATAATGACATCATGCTGCTGAGAGAGCGGGCTCAAACTGTGACTCTGCTGCCACACAACACACACAACACAAGTGTTTAACTGACAACGTTTCACTTTTTTCATTTAAATTGAGTCAACAGAAGATAAAAATAGTTTGAAAGTAACGGACAGATTAATGCAGCACCAGAATCATGAAGTGAAGAGGAAGCTGAACATGGAAGAAGAGAAATGAGAAAAAAAAGAGAGACAAATGTTAAAAATCTCGATTCAGCACCGTCGACTCTTTCTTGTAGTGTTCAGTTATCTCCTGGACGTCTGCTGTCCTCTCCTCCCTCTCCTTCTCTAGTTCTCTCTTCCTCTCCTCCCTCTCTCTCTGCAGCTCGGCCTCCTGGCTTTGACTCTGTGTCGACCAATCAGAGCTCTCCTGGCGTAAGCGAGACACCTCCTCCTTCAGTTTCAGCGTCTCCTGCTGAGACTCCTGGAGAAGAAAAGAGAGAGAAAAACAGGTTGAGACATAAAAATGTACCTTCCAACAAACCAGAAAATGTCTTTGCAGATTACACAGAGATCCTGACCTTCCACCAACGTACTGAAGATCTTTAAAAAAAGGTCCTTTGAAAGTAACAGTCCCTGCTTCACAGAGACACACTTGTTTTAGTCCCATCTGTCCAAAAAAGGAAACTTGGTGTTTCCACTCTTATGTCTGCTTATATCACGTCATGTGATTTATATACATGCTGGATTCTGTCTATCAAGGAGCACTTTTATTTATTTTTACCGTTATTTATTATGTAAAAAAGAAAACTCATCCAGTGCTCCTGACTTTTCCAGCACTGGCAGTCCACATTAGTCCTATCGTTGTCTGGGATTCCATTTAGGATAAAGACCTGTACTTACATCAATCTGACTCCTCTGATCTGAGGTCAGCTGCTGAAGAGTCTGGTTCTCGTCCTGCAGCTTCTCTGACACCAGCAGCAGATCCTGGAGCTGCCACAGAAGCAGAGCAGAGGAATAAAATCACAATTCACCAGAAGAAACGCAGAAATAAAAGAGAGGAATCTGTACCTGTCTGTCAGCGTCTAACAGCCTCTGCTGGTATGAGCTGAGCGTGGTCCTCAGCAGCTGCAGGACTTCAGCAGGAAGACTCTGTTTCCCATCATCCTCTGCAGGTTGCGCTGATGGTTCGCTGGTGTGCTGTTGCAGAGTGCCTCTGATCTGTTTCACACAGGTCACAAACGCCTCCTCTGTGTCGCACTGCCTCTGAACGGCCTAAACACAGTTCACAGAAATGAGCAAGAAGAATTCAGATATTCCCTTTGATCGTAGCGCGACATGCACGCAACACACAAACATGAACACACTAAGTTAAAGCGTGTGTGTGTGTGTGTGTAGGTTTTACCTGCTCCAGCAGTGAGTGTGTGTTTGCATGCTGTCGTACTGTCTATATCTCAAGTTTTTCTGAGAGGTCAGAGGTCGTCTTCCTCTCCGTTTCCAAAGCAGCGCTCATGACAGACTTGCACTGCTCGTACTCTAACTGCAACCTGTGCACATGTTAGAAATCCCAATTACAGACAACTAAAGAAAATACATCCAGCCTTTAGTGATGTGATTGGTTGATTAGATCAGATGACAGTTTATATATTTTTTTTAGCCGCATTTTCTGCAGTGACCTCACCGCTCCAGAGCGCGCTCAGTGCTGCTGCTCCTCTCTCTCTCCCGGCTGTAAGCGTTCTCCACCTCTCTGAACTGAGCTCTCAGCAGCTCCAGGCTGCTCTGTGCCTCCTGCTGGCCGGACCGCTCCACCGCCACCGCCGCCTCCAGGTCCCGCACCCGCAGCTGGTGGTTACATGAACAGGGAGAGATATTGATAAGACTTCACTTATTATTAGTGATTCTTTGATTTCCTTTAGTGAATCGTTTTTATTTTAATCTCATAGGACCCTGCGTCCACATATGTGGACATCACATTTTGGGTTATTTAGACCACAATACTCAATTTTGCTCTACAAGGGCCTGATATCCACTACGAGGACATTATACTGCTACTGTTCTATCAAAATTTTAAACGAATATCCTCATATGTGGCTCTCATTTTTCTTAGAAACAAAAATCAGGTAAAAAAAAATCTGGTAATTCTTTGTTTTTACATTCATCGGGTCCCAATCAGCCCAAATATCAAAGAGAAATTAAAAATGCATGCAGTGGAAGAGTTCGGGTCTTAGGAGGTTAAGAACTTTGGCTAGCACAGATAGATCAGATATGGGTCTATAATTAGTTACGACTGCTGGGTCACCTCCTTTGTTGTGGGAGGCTCTGCCACAAAATGCGCTGCCAGCGTCAAAAAGTAAGGATCTATTAAATCAGTCCTGAAGATTTTCTATGATCTAACACTTTAAGAGCATTATGGACTTCCTGCACAGAAAAAGGAACAAAGTTAAATGGCTGACTGATGTACACCATATTGCACTACAAAGGGCCTAACTTTGACTCAAAGTGCTTGCTTTGAAGCCAGGACGTTGTTTTAAACCAAAGCGTTCACCTTGTTTGCATTTATAACAGTTTCACAGGTTCTGAACTCGAGCTGGTCGTTTACTTGGGGCGAGTTGAGATTTTATCTGATCCAAGGCGTTTAAAAAACTATTGATGTGTTTTCTCTGTTAGTGAAAACCTCTCTGCGCTTTAATTGAATATGTTAAAGCTCCGACTCTGCGCGTTTGTTACCTGGACGATCTCAGAGTTGAACTTTGTCTCCAGGTGAGCACCTCGCTCTGCCTCGATGTTCGACTGAAGAGACTTCACCCTCTGCTCCAGCAGCTGGAGAGAGAAGACACACATCTGTTCTTCCTCCCGTTTCCCACCAATGTTAAAAACAGGAACAGGGTCTGGCCTCACCTCCTTCTCCCTGCGGCTCCTCTCCTCTCTCTCCATCAGCTGCTTTAGCTCGTCGGCACGTCGTCTTTTCACCTCGGCCTCCTTCTCTCGCTCCGTCTGCACCTTGGCCAGCCTCGTCTCTGACTCCTCCAGAGCAACCTCCTGATCCTTGCAGACCAGAAGACACAAACCAAACCCCAAGAAACTTGTTTGAGGGTGAAGAAATACTGGATTCAATCTGTTTTTCAGCCTATTATTAGGCTGGTAAATGACATAATGTTTTAATCATGTTTAAGTTGAATTTCTTTGTCACATGAAGACTAAAAACAGAGCTCTTTTCTGTTGTGACTCTAACCTTCAGCAGTTGGTGCAGTCTCTGGTTTTCAGAGCTGAAACTCTGAATCAGTCGATCTCGCTCCTCCACCTCACGCTGCGAAGCGTGCCGTTCTCCTTCGCTGGCCTGCCGCGTGATGTCCAGAGCTTTCTGCAGCTCCTCGACCGCCTGCTGGAGCTGCGCCGCTCGCTCTAACACACAAACACAAACATTGTCAGAGCTGTCGGTGCTCTAAGCCACGACGTTTATAGAGCAAGGGATTGATGCGGTCCTGCTGAGGGTTTCCTGAGTACAGATGAAGAGTTCTTATATTTCTTTGACTTGTCGACATGAAAAACTCTACAAGGACAGAACTTTGTAGCACTTCATTTCACAGATCACGCTACAATCAAAAAGGAAGGACCACTAAAAGTCTGCTCTGTTAAAGTGACATCATGTGTTGCACTAAACTACACTCCCAGCTTTTTTCTAATTGGCCGATTTCGGGAAGCCTGCTCCTGCGGGGGGATCACGCAGCATGAAGCAGAAAGGTGCGTTGGATTCGTGTACCTGTGAGCGCCTGTTTGTCTCTGCTGAGCTCGGAGATTCGCTCGGCATCTCTGCGGCTCAGAGTCAGTTGGTACTGAAGCTCCACCCTCTGAGCCTCGCCGCGCTCCACCGAACACCGGAGCCGGGTCAGCTCTGCCTGCAGCCGACACACCTTAAACACCACAGTAACCACACACAAACACACACACTTACATTATTATTTTTTATTTGTAGCTGATTATTTATCATTTGCTAATTATTAATTTCTGTCCAAAGTTTTGTCTTTTTCTCTTGAACATTTTGGATTTTCGATGCATTATTTGCACTTTTTTGCCAAAACTCTGAACCTTCTTTCTCACTCCTTCATATCTTTTAATCATAATTATGATTTTCATCTTTGGTCACAATTTCAGGTGACTTTATTAAACGATTCACCTCTGTTTAGACTGTTTAGATGACATGAAGGGGGTAATTAGCTCTTGAGAGCCAAACCGTTTTTGTAGCAGGCTGTAAACATGTTGGACATTTTGCTGCTGGAGCCTCAAGTGGACATTAGAGGAACTGCAGGTTATGATTGGCTGTAGCTCACCTCCTGGTTGTGGCTCGCCTTCAGCTGCAGTTTCTCTTTCTCCACATCGTTGACTCTCCACCTGAGCCTCCTGCAGTCCTCGCCCCCATCGTGCCCTTCTGACGCCACCCTCCTCCCTCCCCTCCCCCCATTTCCTCCGCTTCTGTCTTTCCCTCTTCCTCTCTCTTCCCACTCCTCTTCCTCCTCTCCTTTCCTCTCAGCCCTCCTTCTTCGCCGGTCTCCTGCTGCCTGCTTCTGTTTCTGCTGCGGAGCGTCAAAGCTCAAATTTGACCTGAAGAAAGCAAGAAACTATTTCTTTTATTAAATACCCACATAACAGCTTAACTTAATCTCAGAAATGTGATTAAACAGTCATTTAATTCTTCAATCATCCAAAGTTTACATTTTTAAGGCCAACTAGGTCTTAAAATTTGCCTGCACCCACCTTGCCTTGTCCTCCCCGGAGCTCCGGGCTCTGCTGCCCGCGGGTCTCTCTTCGATATCCCGCGGCTCTGCTCTCCTCTCCCCGCTCTCGCTTCGGTCAGGTTGTCTCCTCCTCTTTGCTGTTTCCGTCTGCATATCTGAGTTCAGTGAACCTGGAATTGCATTTAAATGTCTGTTACTGTCACGCCTGAAGTTGTCCGATTTCCTCTTTGTGACCCCGGAGACTCTTTTGGTTGCTCAGACGCTGCTGTTGCCCTGCCAGCAGACGCACACGAAATTACAGCGAGCTCTGTTTACAAACCGTCTAAGTTAATTATTGCCAACAAATAATAAAGCTTATACAAGTTCTACAAAAACAGTTACGACTAGTGATGAACAAACGGACCAGGTGATCAATTCGGCATCAGTAACAGAGCCCCCCAAAAAACGTATTTCAGCAAGATTTCTACTTTATAACTTAAATCTCTACATATATCCTCAAGCGCTATAAATACTTGTCAGGTGTTTCCTGTTCGGATTTTTGTCATTTTACACAAGTCTTTGTTGGCTTAAATGTGTACCGAATTATTTAAAATACTGTCTTCATCCTAACCAAACTGTTGAGTTTTCACTTACCTCTCTGACACTTGCTATCTATCGAGTCAGCGACGAACTCCATTATTTTGTGAATGAAGCTTTGTTCTCGTACGATAAACAGTCCCGAAAAATACTCTTACTTAATAAATAACCAACATTGGAGGGGTTTTTAAGCTTCAAACCCGTGTTTAATCATTATGCGACGCTCAGTGTCATCTTATCTAAGCACACATTTAGAAAGAAAACGTTTAAAACACTGTTATTAACACTTACTGTCGCACTAAAACCCAAGCCGTTTGAATCTGACGCCATCTTTAGCGTCAGTACGTCGCTTCCGGATCAGCGCTGGATTGGCTGGTTAAAGTTTTTTATTTATGTATTTATTTTTATTTGTTTTGAATGCATTTTATTTATCTTATACTCGATTTTAGAGCAGTTTATCAGATTAAATTATATTTCATTGAATTTAGTATTTTTGGTATAATTTCGTTATTTTTAGATGAAGATTAAAGAGTACTCACAGGATTATATATATTAAAGAGTTACAAATATTTCCATCAGAACACACAATATAAGCGAGTAAGCTTTAGCATGTTTATTTTTACCTCTTAAATATATTAATTTGCTGAGTGTTCTTCTGCGTATGTGTAGTTTATTTAACTACAGCTTGGGGGCGGTATGAGGCTGGTTTTCACCTGCATCGCTTCTTTAATTCAACGTAAAAGAAGAAGAAAGGCAAAACAACATGGCAGCTACCACGGAACACGTTGAAGTAGCGTCAGAAAGTTCGGAAACTGAGCAAAAAGAAGCTCCGGAAACCACCCAAGACCCCGAAACGTCTGATGCTGAGCCGGCCGGCTCCGAGCCAGATCCGGACCCTGATGAGGACGAAGACGAGGATGCGGGCGAGCCGCAAGGACCGAGAATCCGAGATACCCCCATGGACCTCCAGCTGGAAGCGATTGCCAACACGGTTGCTCTGCACCCGACCAGGGACGTTTTGGCCTGCGGGGACGTGGACGGGGACGTGTACGCTTTCTCGTACTCGTGCACGGAGGGCGAGAACCGGGAGCTGTGGTCCTCGGGGCACCACCTGAAGTCCTGCCGCCAGCTTCGCTTCACGGCGGACGGAGAGAAGCTGTACAGCGTGTCCCGAGACAAGGCCGTGCACCAACTGGACGTGGAGCGGGGGCAGCTGGTCACACGGATCCGAGGGGCCCACGGGGCGCCAATCAACAGTTTGCTCCTTGTAGACGAGAACATCGTGGCGACCGGAGACGATGGAGGCACCTTAAAGGTCTGAACAGGGTCTCGCTCCGTCTTTACCCCGAATTTGAGTCTGTGTTTTTAGAACACACCCAGCTACCAGAAAGAGATTTAAGAGATCTTTTTGTGCCAGATTCAGTCATTAATACACAACAATTCAAAATTTAAACACTGAGGACTAAAGATGTTGAGTGTTGGAGGGGTCATAATTTGAAGAGGTGCACTGGTTCTAATGTTTAGAAGCAACTAAAGCAAAGCCTCTGTCTCCTCTGTTCTTGAGTCTGCCTCTTGGAACAACCAGAAGCATCAGGTCAGCTGCCCTTAAAGATCTGTTTGCAGCGTGCTTAGTTAAAAGTTGACAAAGTTAAGAGGGTGAGACTGCAGTTGGTGACTTAAAACACACATTTTCAAATTAAATCTAAAACGTACTGGAAGCCAAAACAGGTCAAATATGGTCTCGTTTAGCTGTGCCTGTCAGGGGTCAAGTTGCTGCATCCTGAGCGAGGATTAGATGAGAAAGCAGAGCCTGGAAGGTTCCCTGAACCAGACCTCTTGAAGTAGAGCACATTGCACCTCTGCACCCCCATCAGACTTCACCATTCTCCACTCCTTCAGTTTGCGGCCGCAGTCGTCGCTCTGCTCGCCGTAACATGCCGTGAACCTGTTCTTCACCTTCTGTCGGTTCTGATTGTAGTGACCCCTGAGCTCACAGAGGACCTCTGGAGTAGAAAAGAACGACTACAATTGTAAGCTGCAGTCCAAGCATGCTGGGCGATTGGGCTCCGTGATGCTTTGACTTAGACGTGCAGTCTGTGGAGCAAGTTGTGTGAAGCACATTCAGAGTTCAGAGTGAAAAACCGTGCATAACAACTAGTCCATTCATTATTTACATCCTGTAAGCAAGTGGCAGCCGTTGTTGCCATTTATGCTTATACTGGTGCATCATGTGCTAATTACCATGTAGTGATGTCCGGATGTTTCATATGCAGTGGCAGCCATGATGGAAACAAGGTGTTGTAATGTTTGTTCCCTGCAGGGTTCTCACTCTCTGTTGTAAAAAGTATTCATTCACTCATCCAAAACATTAAATTCAGGTGTTTGATTCACTTCCACTGCCACACTGAGGCATGCAGACTGCTTCCACGAACATTTGTGAAAGAATGGGTCGCTCTCAGGAGCTCAGTGAAATACAGCGTGGTACCGTCATAAGATGCTACTTATTCAACAGGTCCGGTCATAAAGTTTCCTCAACACGAAAAATTCCACAATCAGCTGTTCGTGGTATTATAACAAACTGGAAGTGATTGGGAATGACAGCAACTCAGCCATGAAGTGGTAAAATGACAGAGTGGGGTCAGCGGATGTTGAGGCACATAGTGTGCAGAGGTCGCTGACTTTGTGCAGAGTCAGTTACAGCAGACCTCCAGCCTCATGTGACCTTCATATCAGCTCAACAACAGTGCACAGAGAGCTCCATGGAATGGGTTCAAATCAGCTGCGTCTAAGCCTTACATTAACCAGCTCAATACAAAGCATTGCAGTGATGTTAAGCACACCGCCACTGGACTCTAGAGCACTGGAGATGTGTTCTGCTGTATTGATTGATGCTGTCGCCCTGTTTCTTCTGGTCTTTGGTGGCCACAATGTCCCCTTTCAGTGAGTTCAGTTTTTAAATTCAGGCTTACCTCCCTGTCGTTTGTTTCCTCTCCGAAGGTGTGGGATATGAGGAAGGGGACTGCCATCATGGACCTGAAACACCACGAGGATTACATCAGTGACATCACTGTAGACCAAGCCAAGAGGATCCTGCTCACAGCCAGGTAACAACAACTACTGATCAACTATAGACAAAATCTACTGAACAATTCAAAAATCTCTCTGGATCACTTGGATCTTTTCACATCCAACAACCATGCAAACTTTACATTCACTTAATACTTTATTTTCTGAGAGTCTCTTTTCTGAAGAGCATAAGCTCTGAAAACCTGATAAATACTGGAAATATTTCCAAACAAATCATATTTACACAGCCTCCAAGTGTCACAGTGGTGTAGGTGTAGCTCCGGAGGGAGAAGGTTGGTGGTTCGATTCCTTGATGCTCCAGTCTGCATGCAAAATTAACCTTGTGAAATATACTAAACCCCAAGTTGCAACTTTTCGTCTCTATCCAGCTTTGACAATAAGGTAAGTTTAACAACGTGCATAACTGAATGTAGAAAATAAGAAAACTGCTCCATAGTTTGCTGCTCTAGAAGTTATACCACCGTGGCAGGTCTCGTCTTTACCTCTCAGCTGTGATAGGCCGACGGCGTGAACACCAAAATATGTGAATATGACAACATGGCCTCAAAAGGTCATGGTCAGAGGTCAAGTTTTTCTAAACATCACCTGTCAAATTTAATAACACAGGTGTGCTGCTACGAGGCTGAGGAGCAGCACTGGTGGCTGTCAGCACTTTGTTTTGAACGTACGTTTGACTGAAGGCTCAAGTCTAACTTGGATCTTCTTCTGATGTTTTGATAATCACAGTGTCATTGATGTCGAGTTTTCCCAACTTGGCATCAAGCCGTGTGCTGCTCAGCTGCTACTATAAAGTGAATCAAGATACAGTTCTGTGCAAAGTGCTGAGCCAGCCCTCATTTCTTTATATTTGCCAGAAAAATGGCAAATGTGCAGGCATTTATGAAAATATAGTATAGAAGAGCAAAAGAGTTTGTATGATTCTAACAAGCTTGCAAGTCAATAGTTGCTATGACCACCTTCTAGATATGTTTTTGCTGCATTGGCAGTGTGCTTAAGATCATTATAATGCTGTAAAATAAAGCTCTTTCCCAAATGTGAAGCATCTGATTGCTCAAAACTGCTTTCAAAATGACAAGAAAGCCTGACTCATTGGAAGGAAAATATGAAGACGTGACGGGTGACTCAAGACTTCTGTACAGAGCTATAGCAATTAAATCAAGAGTTGACATCCAACTGAAAACAACATTAATTTAGATCCTGGTACAGTTTTCACGAGAAATAAGTTCCACAAGAGAACTTCCTGCAGAAGTCAGTCATGACAGCAGCTCACCTGATGGAATTGGACGACTCATTTAAAATTCAAAAGGCTTGAAGCCTGAGCCAGTTTGCAGCCCACCATCAGCAATCAAACCCTGACCCAGCAGCAACTCTTTTACTCATCTTAACTTAAGCTTCTTTTTTTTTGTTTTTACATCAGTAAGACACTCAAGATACTCCAAGGAAACCCAAAACCATTACAGACTGTGACGCTTGGGGTGGGCGTTTGCTTGCAGTTTTTTGCAGAGCTTCGATATGTTTTTAGCCTTGGAGTTTTCACCTGGACGTCACGTGCAGCTATAAAAAAAATCACATGAATTTTAAAGTTTCCCAAATTTCAACCCAACTTTATGCACTTAGGTGTTCTTAGTGAAAACATAAAGTTTCAGGGTTTTATTAGATATGATGAAGTTAAGGTACAGAAAAAAAGCCAGAAATGGTGATCCTGAGCTCACCATCTGAGCTCCAATCTGATTTGCTGTGATTTGTCACAGTGGCGATGGCACCATGGGCGTCTTCAACATCAAAAGGCGGCGGTTTGAGCTGCTGTCAGAGTACCAGAGTGGTGATCTGACCTCAGTGGCGCTGATGAAACGGGGCAAGAAGGTGGTTTGCGGCTCCAGCGAGGGGACCATCTACATCTTCAACTGGAACGGCTTTGGAGCCACCAGTGACCGCTTCGCTCTCAAGGCTGAGTCCATAGACCAAATCCTCCCAATCACTGACAGCATCATGTGCACCGCCTCCACAGACGGG